GGGGGGGGGGGAGTGGGAGGAGGGAGAGCGCTTCTTGACGCATCGCCGTCTGCGACAGGCGCCGCTGCAGGCTGTGGTTGACTGGGTCGAGGCGTCCGACCCCGACGGGGAGGAGTTCGGCCTCGCCTCGAGCTACCCGCGCAAGGAGTTTGGGCGCGAGCTGCGCGGCTCCTCGCTGTCGGAGCTGGGGCTCCACCCGTCGAGCACGCTCTTCACGCGCGAGCTGTCCGACTCGGACTGACTCCCCGCCCCTCCGGCGCGGCAACAAAAGTAGGGAGGGCGAGGCAGGGCTGCTTCTCTCGGTTCTGGGCGCACCGAGGGCGGGCGAGGAGGAGCTGGCCTGCGCTCTTTAGCAGCCTGCAGGCCTCTCGCTTGCTCCGCCCTCGGGTGTGTGAGGCAGTAGGTGAGTTAGGGCAATGGCCCGCCCCCCGGGGGGGGGGGGGGGGGGGTGGCGCCGCGCGCGACACGAGCGCAGTAGTCTCCGCGCGTCCGCGGAGATGAATCCTGAAAATCCAAATCGCAAATGTCGTGCGAGAGCGAGATCGATGCGAGTATGTTCGCGTTCGCTGGCATTGGCGGCCACGATGAAAAAGTTTTTACACTGAACATCTGCCGACAAGTTGAGCTCGCCCGGGAAGACGGCGGCGGGCGCCCTCCTGCCGGTGGGAGCGCGCGAGGATCCACGGGAAGACCGCCTCCTTTCACACAAACTTGCGGCCGTGAAGATCCGCCTCTCACCGTGGCGCGCCGCGCCTACAGGAATATTATAAAAATTCTTTTTTGCGGCTGCGAGAAGAGCGCCAGTAGATCCTGATGCTGAGTTTCCGCACCAGCGCAGCTCAGTGGCAGTCCAGTGTGCGACCAGGGCCTGGTAGACAGTGGACGTGCACGCAGTGTGCAATCTTTACCGGTATGAGACTGGTATTTGGCGATATTTTGATTAGTTTTGGAGTGGTATGGTATAGTGGTATGCGAAAGTGGTATGCGGGGTTTTAAGTAGTTGTAGCGGCTGTCGGTGTGGTCCCGGGGGCGAAACCATGCAAAAGTGCGGGTATTACCCGGGTATACCCGGGTTTTTCCAGGTATGTATGTAACTAGTGAGACGACTCGAGATTGGTTCGAGATTGGGGCAGAGCGAGTGGGAGACTTTTCGGCGGGCGAAATGCGGCGGTTTGGATGCGTCCCCTTTGGGACGACCTGTTGGTACGACCTGTGGGACGACCTGTGGCAGCGACCGATGCGGTCACCGGACGCGGCGGCGAGGCACACGGGCGCCGGCGTGGCGCGTCGGCAGGCCCACCACGAGCGGATGCGCGACGAGCGCGCTCGGGAAGCGGCCGCGGGCGACGCGGAGCTTCCGCCGGAGGACGACGCGGTCGAGATGGCGAGCGCCGCCCAGCTGCTGGACAGCGTGGCGGAGGTGGGCCCGAACTACACCCTGCTGCGCAGCAAGGAGACGAAGGCGAAGCGGCGGAAGCGACAGCGCGAGGATGCCAGGGCGGCGCTCGACGGCCACACTGTCCTGTCCACCGGATCGCGCCTCGAGATCTTCTGCGACAGTGAGCGGTGGTACCCTGCGACCGTCATGGCGCGGGAGGAGGACGGGGACGGACGGATCGCGCACCAGGTCGAGTACGACGGCTACCCGGATCGGCGGTGGTGGCACATGCTGGACGACGAGCGGTGGCGAGCCGTCGCAGAGCAGGCCGGCACGGGCGCAGGCGGCGCTGCCGCAGACGGGGATGGGGATGCGGCGATGGACCGCGCGGACGGCGAGCGGGGCGCCCGTGCCGCGGGCGACGCCGAGGCGGCCGAGGTGCGGCCGGCGCCGCCTCCTGTGCGCCGGGGTGTGCGGCGCAGCGCGCTGGCGGACGCCCTCGAGGCGGAGGATGACGAGCGGCAGGAGGAGGCCGCGTGCGGCGATGGGCGGCCGATGCTAGCGCCACACGGGCCGGCGCTGTCGGTGCAGCTTCGGCGCGTGCGCCTGCGGCTGCGCGAGTTCCTGGCGACGCAGGCCGCGGCGGGGAAGAGCGTGCCGATGCAGCGGACGGCCCTCGGTCTGCACCCGACGGTGCGGTGGACGATCCGCTTCGGCAAGTGGCTGGCGACGACGCGAATCACCGCGCCGAGGGCGAGCCGGTGGCACGCGACCGAGCGGGGCGACGCGCGGGACGAGGAGCCGACGGTGCGCACGGGGCGCGGCGAGAACACGGTCTACGTCGCGCTGCAGCACATGAAGAACCACGTGTGGCGCGAGATCTGGCCGGCGATGCCGGACGACGCGAGGCAGTACTGGCGGCTGGTGACCAAGCAGGTGATGTCGCTGTACGACGGCGGCGGCGGCGGGATGAAGGACGCGGCAGGAGCCGCCGGCCGGGCGGCGGGCCGCGAGGCGGCGCAGGAGAGCGCGTCGCACGGGCAGAGTGAGGCGGCGCAGCGGGCGGCGAGCGAGAGGGCGAGCGCGGTGGCGAGCCGGCGGACGATGGCCGAGCTGCGCGAGGCGACGACGAAGCCGTGCACGAAGCAGCACCTCTTCCAGGTGGGAGAGTACCAGATGCAGGACACGCAGCTGATGGAGCCGTTCGAGGTGAACGTGGCCTTCATCATGAACGCCTACTTGTGCTTCGCGCGGCAGACCGGGTGCCGGCCGGGCATGGCGGTGAACGACGCGGCGGACGCGGCCGATTCGGACAGCCACTGGCGCGCGTCTCCCGCTGAGAGAGAGAGAGAGAGAGGCGAGTAGAACGGTGGCGTTGGCGTGCGATGGGGCGAGATGACACTGAGCCGTGCCGCTCGCCGGCAGGCACGAGCTGCCGCCGCTGACGATGGGCGACCTGTCCATCGCCGCGGATGAGCTGCTGCGGGGACTAGGCGGGGCGGGCGTGATGACCGAGGGCGACTTCGAGGCCCTCATCCGGATGGAGGTGACCTTTGCGCGGAAGAAGGGCGAGTACTACGCGTGCTACGAGTTTGGGACGGCGATCACGCCCGACTCGGACCAGATGATGCGCATCGGGACGCTGGCGATGGTGCGCCTGCTGCTGCGCTGCGGAAGCTTCAGGGCGTGCTACTCGAAGCTGAGCGAAGCGAGCGCGGCGGCGCTGCGTCGCAAGGTGGCCGAGCCGAGCGGGTTCGCCGGGCTCGAGCTGGCGGACACGGGTTACGAGACGCTCCCGGCGCTAGTGGCGGCGTGCCGAGCGGATGGCTGGGTGCTCGACAAGGCGGCCTTGGACCGGCCTCTGTTCCCAGGCGTCGACGAGGCGACGGGCCTCTTCTTGTTCACCGAGAGCTTCGACGTGCAGCGACTCTGCCGGCGCCTGATCGAGACGGGGCGCCAGCTTGGCATGAGCCGGCATAAGGTGGGCGCGTGGAGCCTGCGCAAAGACGCGTGCGAGCAGCCGGCGTCGGCGGGCGACGGCGCCGTCGCTGCGCGAGTGCTGGGCCACCGCCAGGTCAACTCTCGGACGATGAATCGGGTGTATCGCGCAGACCTGCGCACGCGCGATCTCGGCGCTTACTGGATGCGGCGCGACGCGCTCGGGAGCGTGGAGCGCGCGCCGCTGACGTCGCTCTCGGCGTCGCGTGTGCCGGAGGTGGGTGGCGTGCGCGGCTTCGGCGACCTGCCGCAGGCGTGCCCGGAGCGGCAGGCGGCGCGCAGCGACGCGAAGGTGGCGGAGGCGGTGGAGGAGGTGGCGAGCGCACGACGCAAGCTGCAGCGGCGGCTCGGCGTCGCGCTGCTGCCGAAGTATTTCAAGGCGAGCGCGCGTGCGGCCGGTGGCGGCGAGGAGGTGGACGAGTACGAGGCGGCGCAGCTCCGGCTCCGCCATCGGAAGGGTGAGGCGGAGAGCGACGCGGTGGAGGCGCACCAGCTTCGGCTCTACAAGGAGGGGCAGGAGCGGCTGCGCGCTGCGCCGGCGCTGCGGATGGCGATGCTCTCGACGCACGCGTGGGCCCCTCGGTCGGAGGACGACGCGATCGCGTTCGGGCTGGATCGCAGGGACCGCACGCGCGAGCTGCGGATGCTGCGGAAGCTTCCGGCGAAGCTGCAGGGCTCGATCCTGCGTGTGGGGGCTCTGCACGTGCTTCCGACGGCGGGCACACCGGCAGAGGTGTACGGGCGCGTGCGGCGGCGGAGCGAGGACATCTGCATCCTCGAGTGCGGCTCGGAGGACTGCGCAGGCCGACCCTCCATCGAGTGGCCGACCACGGTCGCACGGTTCGAGGAGCGGCGGTGCGTGCACTGCGGCGGCGCGGTGCGGCTGCGCTGGCAGCGCGAACCCCAGGCCGAGAACGCAGCCGTCGAGCCGCTCGCGGTGGGCGCGGCCGCATCGCTGGGCGAGAGCTTCCGGGAGACGTATTGGGCGTGGTACAACCTCTCGGCGCGGGCCGCGATCGGCAACGCGGCGTACGCGGCCGGGGCGGCGGCGACCGCCAAGGCGAGCGCGAGCGAGGCGGGAGACGCGCCCCTGCTGGGCGCGGCCGTCGACGAGCTCGAGCTCGACGACGAGACGGTCGCCGAGGCGATCGCGGCGCTCGACGGAGGCGACGGAGCGCCGGGCTGCGGCGATGAGGCTGATGAAGACGCGAGTGATCACCGCGGTGCGTCGCAAGAGGTTTGAGTCGGGGTGCAAATGTGAGACCGTGAGTCGGGGTGCAAATGTGTAATACGGTCGTGTGTGGGTGATCTCGGGATGGCGAGCGAAGCGCAGGTAATCTTTGATCTTGAATCCGTGAAAAAAAAGGCTCTGGTGTCACTGGCGCAGGGACAGTAACTGGCACAGTGGCGCCACTGTGCGAAGGCGCGCACAGCACCGCCGTGGGGAGGGCGCCGGGGCGGGCAGGCGGCGACGGGGGCGGCGCGGCTGGAGGCGAGGGCGAGAGCGGCGGCATCCCGGACGGCGGCGGAGGCGAGGGCGGCGGCGGGGCGGGCGGCGGCAGCGAGGGTGGCGGCGGCGGCGGCGGCAGCGGCGGCGGGTGTGAGGGCGGCGGCGGCGAGGGCGGCGGGCGGAGGCGAGGATGGCGGAAAGGCGGCGGAGAGGCGGCGTAAATCCCCGCGAGGGAGGCGTCTGCGACAACAGGGAGGGCGGAGGAGGGGCGGTGCGGAGGGTGGTGGCGGTGGTGGTGAGGCCGGTGGTGCGCGGTGAGGCCGGTGGTGCGGCCCCCGCCCGTACCGTACCGGTGGCAAGGCCGGTGATAACGCGGTGTAGGCCCGGTCTGTTTGACGTCCTTGGCCTGACGGCGTGGGGTGGGCGTGGCGGCGGTGGTGTGATTGGCGGTGGTAGAGCCAGGATCGGCATGAGGCGTGGCTTTCGAGATTTGAGCCTGTTGTAGAAGCAATTACAGCAGGAGAATTTCTGTAATTACAGCGGGTGAAGCAGGCCGCGGCCGGGACGCCGCTGTGGCGCAGTTGCTGTGCAGCAAGCTGGGGCTGGCGTGGCGTCGGGGACCGTGACTCCAGCGTCGAGCGGAAGGGGACGGACACCTTCTACTTGCTCTCGTGAAAAGAAATCGCGCAGGGGAATGCCCGAGCGCCAAAAAAATCATGTCCGGGCGCAAACGGCGCTGAAAATAACGTGGAAACGACGGGCACCGAAAAGTCTGGGAAAGAAATCGAGGGCGAGATTTGGGTCGTACCAAGGTCATACCAAGCTGGGACGATTGCAAGTCAAACGAATGCCCAACAAGCATCAGAAGTACACGAAGTTTAAGCCGTGCTGGTGTCGAAAATCAATCTTGCATCCGGACAGCAAGGAGCTGGCCTGGCAGTTCATGCCATCCATACGCGAGGCCAAGACCCCCATGGACGTGCAGACGGTACTTTGCCGCGTCGAGGGCGTGCACGTGATCCGCGGCGTCGCGATCAGCCAGTGGAGAAAACGTAAGTACTGGGCTGCAAGTCCTGCAAAGGCTGCAAAGGTTGCCGGCGAGCGGCCCGAGTCGCCGCCGAGGCTGGACATTGGCGCATCCAGCTGCGACGAGGAGGGAGACGCGGATCTCGTCTACGAGTTGTGGAAAGCATGCGCGTCGGATGCCATGCCTTCACCTCTCGCAGGCGGAGAGGTCGGCGACGATGGTGTGGGTGTTGTCGCTGGCGGCTACGAGTGCCTGCGTGGCGGTTTTGGCGGCGGCGCTGGCGCTGGCGGCTTGAGCAGCGGCGCTGTGCCTGGCGTCGTTCCTGGTGGCGAAACCGTGCTCGATCTCGATGTCGTTGACGGCGGCGACGACCTCGTCGGCTTGGGAGGTCGCGGCGGAGGCGGTGTCGACGAGGTCGGACTGCCCGGCAG